AGCCCAAGCCGGAACCCGGCCTCCCCGCGGAGTACGATGAGATAGCCCGGCGTGGCTTCTTCGACGAGGACGCCCTAGAGTGGGTGTGGGACGACTACCTCCGCGATGGGATGGTCCGGCAGCGCCGGGCCCTGGAGGAGACAGAAGCCCGCAAACGTGGGCGCGAGGACGAGCACGGCGTCATGATCCTCGACAGCGACGACGACGATGACGCCCCCGGACCGTCCAACCCGCCGCGCCAACCGGGAGAGGGATGCAGCAGGGACGGCGGCGGCGGAGGTGGCGACGACGACGACGACGACAACGACGACTACACGCGGTTCTTTTCAAAAAAAGAAGAAAAGGAAACGCTCGATTCAGCCGTGGCGTATCCATTCTGTCTACATATTTCCTGCTCCGCTCCGCTTCCACCGAAACCCCTCCAAACCCCTCCCACCGGAAAATCCCCCAAACTTTGGCTGGCCAAAACTATGGACGGAGATCGACGGTTGCCGGCGGCCGCCGCGCTCGCATCGGCGGCGGCGGTTCTTGGCGACGACAACCTCCTGCCCGAGATCCTCATCCGCCTCGGCTTCCCCACCTGCCTCATCCACGCCGCCCTCATCTCCAAGCGGTGGCTCCACCACGCCTCCGACCCGGCCTTCCTCCGCCGCTTCCGCGAGCGCAACCCACCCCGCCTCCTTGGCGTCTGCGTCGGCTACCCCGGCAGGTATCGCTTTGTGCCGCTCCCGCAGCAGCCCCCAGAGCTCGCCGCCCCGATACGCCGCGCGATCTCCTCCTGCGACGCCGCCTTCGCCCGCGGGTGCCCGCGAATCAAGCACTGCCGGAATGGCCGCCTCATCATCGAGGTCTTCCACGCCGGCAGATTCGATCACCCCCTCGTGGTGCCGCTTCTCACCGGGGAATCTGCAGCCGTCCTCCCACAGATCCGGCCCCACCGTGACCGCTGGGTGCAGGGCACTCAAACGGGATTCACTGAGATGTTCCTACCCGAGGATGGGGGCCGCGACGGCATCACCTTGGTGAATCTGTGGAAAGACTGGCCAAAAGTGTATGCGGAGGTGTGCATCCTGGGATCTGGCAGGTCTGGCGTCCCTGCCAGGGGCTCGACAGAGATAGAGCTCCCGGATGACATCGTCTTCCATGAAATGCTACCACCCATCCATGGCAAAGTCTTAATGGTGACCAACTTAGGGTACACCTTGGGTCTAGATTTAGCCACCAGGAGCCTTTTCACCCTAGAGCTACCAGTAGGAGTGCGGGGCAACTATATGCTCTCATGCGCGGAAGATTCCGGGCTCTATCTCGTCAGTGCAGACGGGTTTCAGCTCAGTGTGTGGCTTCATCGGATGTCGGGCGACGATAATGGCGCAGGCTGGCTGCTGGTGGACACATTTTGTGTCGGTGTGGGTCAGGCATGCACACCACGCGCAGAGGACAGTTGGGTTCCTCACGATGTTTGCCTTGATGTTGTCGCGGTCGGGGACGATGCTGACTTTGTGTTCTTAGATCATCCAGCAAGTGGTGCTCTCTTTTATGTTCATCTGAGGAGCAGGGTGGTTGAGAAGGTCTATCAGAGGGGGGCAGATGAATGTGGGTATAAACGTACGGCTGCTGGCCACGTACGTGTATCTCCTGTTATGATGATCTGGCCGCCTATCTTCCCAGCGCGGAACGTGAAACGTGAAGAATGATCCCCCTGTGTTTGATCATTGTACTATCTAAACTGAGTATGAGTTCTGCAATAGAGAGGTATGTACTTTGAGTCATTTCTCTTCCTAAGAACAATAGATATTGCAGTCATGTATGTGTGTCTTAAGAACCTGTGTTTCATTTCAGTTAAAAAACCTGAAGTTTGCAGAGGTTTATTGAAATATATCCAGCAAAACTGCACTGATCATCTGAGCTGACAGTAGTTTGTATAAGATATTCCATATATGAGGGTTTTCTGGTAATGATCAGTTGTGTAGAAAAACTTTGAATGGTCGCCAAATAAAAATGACAAGCAGCAAACGGAAGACAAATAACTGAAAATATAGCTTTTGGCGAGGAAGTTTCTTTTGTGTTCTCGACAGGGATGGCTCAAACGATGCCATTAACTGAAAATATGCATGTGTTGTGAACTTGTGATGTCCATTTTTTTATTAAAACTGACTTGTCTACAAGCTATAATCCACCCATCATCACTAGTTCACTACTATTAGTTCTAAGGGAAAATTTGATAGATGCCATTAGCTGAAGTTTTATCCCAATCGCTGCCAGAAAAAAAAGTGATGCTTTGGTGTCCACAAACTCCACAACAATGGTATTCCTCGTCACGGACAAATGGCAAAAACAGTAAATTAGAGTGCATCCAGTCCTAGCTTATCAGAAACCTGATTAATCATCAACTGAAGCATTGATTTGATTGATACCACCATCCATTTTTTTTTACTTTCTGGTTACTCATTTGTAACCTTTTACTCCTTCTAATCGCAATGAAAGCAGCCAAGCTGCATTTCGTCAAAAAAAAAAGTTCAGCCTATCTCGAATCCTGACTCTTCTTCATTTTTACGCATTCAAGGCATCATTACAAAAAATATCAAAGATTAGCCACACTCCTGACCATAGCTAACTCTATCACTTTGCTCCCTCACAAAAGCAAAGATTACACGAGCTGCTAGAATTCATTAGATGGAGTTTTATCCCAAATTCCCAATGGTGTCCAGAAAATAGAATCCAAACCTAGCTTATCAGGAATTTGATGAATCATCAGCTGAAGCAGCGAATTTGTTTGGTACCACCATCCTCTTTTTCCATAGATATGATACTATAACTAAACTTCTGCCTGTCTTGAATCTCGATTCTTCTTTAAAAAATACTTATTGAGCACATCATTAAAAATATTATCAGAGATTAGCCACTCTCCTGGCCATAGCTAACTATGATTTTGGCCCCTCCCAAAGGCAAAGATACAAAAGGTGGTACAATAGAACCTTCCAACAGAGAACATATATTCTACCCAATCAGACACATCTATAAATAAGCATCGTTGGGTCATCAGCATCATAAAACACCAAGAAACAACAGCCCACATCTAGCTCAAGTGAACTGAACTGATCAGATGATCAACCACAAAGCCCCAAGAAACAACATCCTACAGCTAGCCACCAATTTGCTCGATCAGCAATGGCGGACAGGGTGAAGAAGCTGGCGTCGCAGTGTGCGGTGGTGATCTTCGGGGTGAGCAACCGCTTCATGTGCCACACGGTGAAGACGCTCTTCACGGAGCTGGGCGTGAGCTGGGCGGTGCACAAGCTGGCAAAGGACCCCTGGGGGAAGGACGTGGAGAGGGCGCTTGCTGGCATGGTCATGACACTGCACCTTGGCGGCCAACTCGTGCCGCTCCTCAGCCAGGCTGGCGCCCTCTTGCTCTGAAGAGTCAAGGACAGCAGTGGCTGATGCGTGTATGCAGTTATGTGTGATTGCAGCCTCGAAATCGAGCTAAGCTAGTGATCATATAGTGCATGTAGTGCAACTACTTAATTTTGGAACCCTCTGGCTCTGAAGAGTCAAGGATAACAGTGGCTGATGCATGTGTGCAGTTATGTGTGATCACAGCCTCAAAATCGAGCCAAGCTAATGATCATATAGCTGGACAGTGGCTGATGCGTGTGTGCAGCTACATAGTTTTGGAAAGCTCATCAAACATATTAACGGTTAGGGATGAAAATGGAGTGGAAACATTCCGCTTTTACGGAGGAAAAACGAAAATGGAGAGAAAATATGGAAATGAAAATTTGCAAAATGGAAATGAAAAATTGATTTTTTTTACGCGGAAATGGAAACAAAACGGAACGTTGTTTTCCCGCGGAACAGGCATGGAAACGGAACTTTCCGGTTTCGTGAATATGAAATTTTCATCTTTACTATGAGACTATGGCTGTTTTGCAGCACAACCACCAAACAAACACAATGAGACGGTGAGTAGAATGACCCACGTGAGGCCCAACTTCCATGACCACGCACGTAGTCAACTAGACCCTCCCCTACGCAATTCTCCAGTACTACTATAATACTATACTATTATTTGATAGCCATGTTAATAATTGATCAAGTTTGTTAGTGTGCTTGTGTTTTTCTATGGTTAGGGTTATTAAGTTCCGACCAACACCTGCTTATGTTTCCGTGTCCGCCCTGTATTCGCTCGGTGTTCGTTTCCGGTAGTGTATGCTTCCATATTCATTACCGGGGTTTATGTATTCATTTCCACTTTACAAAAGGGCAGCCCGGTGCACGTAACTCCCGTTTGCGCAGGGTCCGGGGGAAGGTCCGGCCGCTTTGGGGTATAGTACGCAGCCTTTCCCTATATTTCTGTAAGAGGCTATTTCCAGGAACCCATGACCTCATGGTCACAAGGCAACGGCTTTGCTGCTGCGCCAAGGCTCCCCTTCATTCATTTCCACTTCCACTGTCATGATCTTTCAGTTTTGCCGCTTGTCGTCATATGACAGAAGCAATGGATGCTTTGTGATGAGCATTGTGAGCAATATTAAAGGAGCTTATGCTTATCTTATCATATCGTTGCTTAATTTGAAGCTTTGCTTAATTTAGCCGGCTGTTGTGCTAAGATCATGAAAGAATCCATGGTATATATAATGCTCTTCCGTAAATGGAGAATATCGTGTCATATCGTACACATTTTTCTCGAAGCTATATAACAGTAGTAGATAACTGGAGGTAGATGCACTAATTCAGGGAGGTTAGTATGTTGAGATAGATGCACTGGTCCAGTGAGCTAGGTATGGTATGAGCTAAAAGGAAGGATCTACCTAGGCTGCATTTGGCGTCGCAGTGGATCATTTGTTTATCAAATAAATATTTTTCTACTTTAAGCGAATGATGTCGATGACCGGAGGTAGAGCACTCCATGGGCCAGGGTGACCTCCATGTCGCTTTACAAACCCCATGGAAACTCCAAATACATGCTGTCGTCATAAGTACAGACACACCGATTGGGTGCTCTTTGTTTAACCCTTTTCTTGTACGTATACTTTTATTGCTAATTTTCCATCGCAGATTGCAAAATAAGTACATGCAACACAGTTCAGAAACCAGAAACTGAGCGGGTTTAGACAGTAGTTGATATAAAGGCCTAAAGATATGGTAGGTCAAGATTAACATTCTTTTCATTCTAGGGTTTTTTCGGTAATCTCATCCCTATCATGAGAAATTAAGAGATATGTCAAGACTTCTGTAACAAAGCGAAAAAGTGTTTGTCACTATCAAGTTCGCACACTAGCTAGTTTGAGAGTGTAATATAATCCTGGTATCCATGCATAAGATTGGCAGCCTCTTTTGGGTAGTTTTTACCCCTATCCTATATACTTAAGAAGTTCATCCCCACTACTTGATTTATCTTAACATGCAGCATAGCCAAGTCATCATCCAATCAGTGGCGGAGGCACCGCCCAGCGACCCTGGGCACTTGCCCGGGCTCGCTTGTCCTGGACAGTAGCGATCGGTCCAAATTCTGAAGGGCAAAACACGTTCTGTGGGTTGGTTTACCCGGGCAAAACAAATGGGCCTTCGATTCTCACACCGGCCCATCTGCACTCTGCAGCGGTACAACCCAAGCCGATACAGGAGACATGCGAGCGTCATTTCCTATTTGGCGCTGCAGGCGCCCGTTACAGTGCAATTCGCAAACGGGCGCCTGCAGCAGTCCAAACTGGGCCGGCCCATTCTATGTTAGGTCTTCTTGTTTTTCGAAAGGTATCCATGCATAAGATTGGCAGCCTCTTTTGGGTAGTTTTTACCCCTATCCTATATACTTAAGAAGTTCATCCCCACTACTTGATTTATCTTAACATGCAGCATAGCCAAGTCATCATCCAATCAGTGGCGGAGGCACCGCCCAGCGACCCTGGGCACTTGCCCGGGCTCGCTTGTCCTGGACAGTAGCGATCGGTCCAAATTCTGAAGGGCAAAACACGTCCTGTGGGTTGGTTTACCCGGGCAAAACAAATGGGCCTTCGATTCTCACACCGGCCCATCTACACTCTGCAGCGGTACAGCCCAAGCCGATACAGGAGACATGCGAGCGACATTTCCTATTTGGCGCTGCAGGCGCCCGTTACAGTGCAATTCGCAAACGGGCGCCTGCAGCAGTCCAAACTGGGCCGGCCCATTCTATGTTAGGTCTTCTTGTTTTTCGAAAGGTCAAAAAAACAGTGCTACGACAGTGATTCGAACTCCCAACCCTTACGCTGCAAGCGCTCACGGCTAACCACCAGGCTATACACCCCCAACTGTTAACTTAGTTCTTTTCCCCTTTTTATTTCGTTCTTTAACTCGGTTTATTATTTTTCTTTTTCCATCATCTTTTTTGTTTTCTTTATTGCGCCGTTTTTTAAAATTCGTGAACTGTTTTATTTAAATTTGTGAACTTTTTTTGGAAATCCATGATTTTTTTTTCAAATTCGATGAACTTTTTTGAAATTCGATGAACTTTTTGTGAAATTTGATGAACTTTTCTTTTCATATTCTATGAACTGTTTTCAAATTTGATGAACATTTTAAAAAATTTATGAACTTTTTCGAATTGGATGAACTTTTTTTCAAATTTGATGAACTTTTTTCGAAGTCGATGAACTTTTTAAAAATTTTGAAATATTTTTCCAAATTCGACGAACTTTTCTTTAAAATCGATGAA